GCAGGAATGTCAATTCACAACACATAAATATCGTGCCCCTTCCAAACTTTGAAGAGTTAGATACAAGATTTTCAGCATGAGCAAAGAAAGGAAAAAGGGAAAAGGGGGGAAGAAAAAAAACAGGGTGTTCAGGGTATTGACCATTGATTGCTTTTCATCATTGAGTTGCTTGTTCACTTCTGGGGCATTTCTTCCCTCTTCATCTTTAATTTCACGATCAAACTCCTTTATCAACCTGAAACCATTAATAACAACATTTCATATTCTAAGAATGCAAGTAATATATTCCAAAGGAAATTATCAGTGACAAGCAAAATTTCCACCATGCCAACCTACAAGGAAGAGAAAAAGTGATATTTTGAATAGAGTTTGCATTTTCCGTCTCATCCACAGTTTTTTTTTTTTTTTTAATCTCATTCGGAGAGCTGCAATTTCCACTGAGTGATACCAAGATTAAAATTACATAAACGCATGTCTTACCTTTTGCACTCCCTCATCTTATCCGTGAGTTCTTCCAACTGATTACCTTGTCTTTTGGCATCTTTAATCTTATCCAGCTTCTGGAAGCCATTTCTGGATACAAAAGGTAAACCTTGTCAACAATAAATAAACTAAGTAACACAACACAGATCATCCACATTTCAACAGACATCTCCAACTGCTAACAAAACAGGATCTATTTACAAAAAAGAACATATTAAGCCCGAATTCTTTCATTCCCTCCTCCATGAATTGATATTTGATAACTAAGAACGTCGCACCAGCTAAGGACACATTATTAGGAGACTAGACTGGAAGAGAAGTACAAGTAAACCATAAATCACGTGTATATAATAAAGGAGGATAACATAAGTACATAACCATAAACCACCATCAACTGGTTCAACCCATCATAGGGTGAAAGAGGGCAACCTAGGTCATCCGACACAGTAATATCCACAGTTTCAAGAGATCAGATATAAACCACAGTGACAACACAAAAATATGAGAACCGGTGAAATAAAAAAAATTATAAAAAAAAAAAAAAAGCAAACTCCCCCTAGAGTCTCACTACTCCTTAAAACTCCTCTGCATAATCCCTTAAACAGAAAAAGTTCAAATACGACAAAAACCTAAAGGGTAAACAACACCAACTCTGAACACACTCTCAACAATCAATTGTAAATTACATTTGACAGTATAATCCCCAATGTTAAGAAGAATCACGAAATCACAACCTATAACCCCAACAACATAATAGTTAATGAAATTAATTGTTGATGTATGAGACGGAGTAGGGTGATAATAGAGAATTAAGAGAGGGCTTACGCGAGGGCTCGAAAGTTGTCGCGAATTTCGCCGTGGATCTGCTCGACCTGAGGAGTCATCTGCAAGTTGGAGGCCATAAGTGCCGGAGATTAAGTCTGCCCCCAAAATCCCGGCAAGAAGTGAGGTCGGAGAGAAACCCTAAGTGGTCGGTGAGAGAAGACGATGGAGCATAACAATTGTGAAGGGGAATAGAATGTGGGAGGGTTTGAATGGAATTGAAAATTGAAGGAATGAATCGCGTGGAAAAGAAAGAGAAGAGAGTCACAATCACAACACACGAAACAGAAACACAACACAACACAACACAACACAACGAGGAAGAAAGTTCGAGCTGTGCTGTGGAATGCGGTGGAACATGGCAATTAGGAAAAGGGTACCGTTGTCATATCTTATTTTATTCTTTATTCTTTATTTAGAAAATGTTTCCATACAAGATTATAAGTTTTTTTTTTTATAAAAAATACTTTTTATTTTTGTACAGAAACTCTTATGAATTTTAGTTAAATTCAAGATGAATTTTAATATTTGAAAGATCGTTACAGAATCAAAAATTTGAAAATAATGTCATTAATAAAAAATATTTATGTTATATTATCAAAGAAAACAATGTCATTTGTCATTTATCTATATCGGACTTTATCAATTTATCTTACTGTATTTGGATAGTAATGATAGGTGGGACACTCTATAAAGAAAATGATTGGAGGACATTTTTCTATCCTAAATATTTTATTAAGTTTACTATTTGAGTTTCATGACTATGAGCTTCAGTATAAAAAATTTACACAATAATCAACTAATTAAAAATAACATTTGATATAACTTTTAAAATAAAAATTATAAAATTTAATAAGTTTCTTATATAAAATAATTTATAATTAAATAAAATATAAAGTTATTGTATATTATCTGTGTGTGATTTATTCCTTTTTATTTTTCTATTTTAGTATGCTATTTATTATATTTTTCTTTATTTTCTCTTCACAAGTATATTCAATTGTATAATAATTATTTTTTAAGTCATGTAATTTCTTTTATTAGTCATTAGAACTAAAAAAAAAAAAGGGTATAATATACTAATTAATTCAAAAGGTACACATGCATGAAACATACTAGAAGTTGGGGTTTGTTTGCATAAAAACTAGAAAATTAATCATTATAACTTGCAATAAAAACTACGCATTCCAATAAAAATAAATATAAAGTAGATTATTTAAAATCAATTTTATGAAAAGTCTAAACTAAATGGGTAAATGGGTTTAAAAATTTAGAATTTACAAAAATCAAATGTGCAAAATAAAGTTATAAAAATGGATTTGATGAAAATAAGTTATATTTTTTTTATAAAAAAAATTGGGTTAATTCCAAATTATATGAAATGAGAGATGGTTGGTAAGTGTAATTTGATTGTTTAATTAAAGTAGGAAGTAGCAAGAAATAATGAAGTGGAATGCGCTGTGTGTGGGCCTCACTGCCTTAATCTTTGTCTTTTCCTCTGCTCTCTGCCATTCATATGAATGAACCATAAGCAAAGCTTTTTAGCTCACATTTCACTTTCACTTTCAACTCAAATTTCAAATATTACCATTAACTCAACTAAGCCCAAAATATGTTTTCAATTTTTGGTTGTTTCATTAATTAGTTTAATTTAACATATTTAAAAATGAGCAATGTTTTAATAAACAACCAATTTCTTAGTTTCTTTTGCTTCAAGCTGTGTGAGTACTTGCGTTTTTATTAAACCTTAAACCCAAAATTCATATATTTGATTTTATTAATTGTTTATGTCTTTTAATTTATCCTTTTCATATTTATTTTTAAATTAAATTAAAAATGTTAATGTGTAATATTTTTATTTTTATCACTAACTAAAACATGCATAAAATATGAATTTTATAGAAGTTATTAAACATATAATAGTGTATAAACTGCATCAAACTCATCAGTGCTATGCCTTAAAAAAATAAAATGCAGTACTATGAACTAGTATTTTATTTAGTTCAATTTGATCTCAGTTATATTCCTCAATTAAATTATGATTCCATTCTCCTCCGGCCTCAAAATCATCTTTGACTACAGAATCACATATCTCAAAAGTTATATTTTTTGGACTAATTTTCATAGGACTACTAATAGTATTTTTTTTAAAAGCTTCCTTTTTAATACCTTCTTTATTATAAAGGGGATTGTATATAATTTTTTTTTAAATAATAACTATAAAGAAAAGAGAAACAATAAAAGAGAGATTGAATAGTATCAATAAAAAAAAATCAACATTTTTTTTGAAACAGTTAAATAGTAGCAATACTATAAGAAAGTAAACAAAAAGTAAAATATGAACTTTTTATACCAGTTCTTTTCAGCTACCGATATTATGTCAAATTCTTGATCAACTTGATCAAATTTTATTATCTTTAACAAAGATATGAGTATTCTTTTATAAGTCATTTTTATCTCGATCTATGTATTCTTTGACTTGCTTCTTTAAGCAACTACTCAAATATTTTTTTAATATAAAATATTTCAAAACTTTAACAACCAAATATTATTTTACAATTAAGTCTCTTCATGCTAAAAACAACTAAGTATTCTTTAATAGTCAAACATCTTCAAGATCAAAATAATAATACAAAGTTAATAATATTGTTTCATCTTACTGTCAATATATGATACAACCAAATAAGTATAAGACTTTTTACAAAAAGAAATGTACAACGACGTTTGTGTAAATTAGTCTCCTTTCTATCGCTTTTCTTTTTCAAATCTTTAAATTTCTTTATATAGGTGCTTCATGAAAATGACTGTATACAAATTATTGAGCGACTCTCACAAGTTTGTTTCGTCTATTTTCATCTTTGTTTGATGTAGATAGAAGTGTCTAGTAATGCATTAAATGTATTTCACCAAGTTATACTTTTATTTAATAAAATAAATTACTTTTTTTATTAGCTAAAAGAAATGTATTAAGGAGGCACTAGGGATGCCAAGCCCAAATACAAAATGTTGAGAAATAAGAAAGAAGTTACAAATAGTCTTAAAATACTCCAAAGTTATATGTTCCTATCATGAGTAATACAAATTTCAGTTGCAATGTGGTATAAAGCACGTCTCCCACATGACCCATTGCATGTTAATGATGACATTGATGTGTCCTACTGTAATCATTGAGTGATCAATTACACAGAAGCCTATAGAGTCTGTCATCCACGTGTCCAATTTCTATCATCCCTAATATGTTGAAACTCAAACCACAAGGCAATATAACCCCTTACTTCCCATAAAGAATTACCAAGGGAATTCCATCTTGTTTACAAATTACAGTGCTAGGATACACGCTGATACAAGAAATAGGATCCATAAGCCAATTAATATACAATAATTGATCCCTCTTCAAATCCACACACACAACCATTTCCAAGATCGATATTTAATGGCCTAAAAAAGTTCCATTATATCCGGCATCCCATTATTAAAAGCAATACGGTTCCTGTGAAGCCATAAACTCCATATAACAAAAATCCAAATAGTTGTGAATATCCTTCCTTGCTTCTTCCCAAATGCAAATCCACCCATACTTAACAATAATTCATCCAAACCATTAGGCAAGCACGCTGAAATACCAAGCCAATGAAGGACCAAATACTTGATTTTACATGAAATTCTGCAGTGTAAAAAAAAGATGACATACATTCTTTGCCTCATTATTACATAAAGCGTAAAAATTATTAATAACAGGAGTACCAAGCCTTGCTAAACTTGCTCAAACTGATAGCGAATTCAACAATAATTGTCACGCAAGAACAATTGTTTTCTTTGGAGCTTTTGCCTTCCAAATGCATCGAAAACTTTATCTTAAACAAATGAACTATGCTTGTGTTAGTCTAAATAAACTTTTTCTACAATTTTTTGTGCTTCCTACATTTTTTTTCCATGTTTTATGGGATATGCTAATCATTTTTTGAATAACATTTTTTTTATTTTCTTTGTTAAGAAGTTGTGTAGACAAAGATGATTTTTTAGACATCATAAATAATGCAAATACAAAGCATTTATCTTACAAAAAAAATGTTTCATCTATGAGACTTAATATCCTAATAATCGATTTGTCTTAATAGATCATCTTATCTCTATTTGACTTAAAATTTGATATGAAAAACTTTTTTCTTATAAAATGTGTATATTTATTATCATCAAAACTTAAAGTCTAAGATATATAAGATCATCTTTTTATTTAACAATAATATTTATTATAACAATAAGAATACTAGTAGTATTTTTAAAAAAATCTTTCTTTTGGACATATTCTTTATTATAAAGGAGTTTGTATATAAATTTTACTAAATAACAACCTAAATATGTTATTATTTAATGAGATGCACATATAATTTATTCAAATATAATTACTGAGTCGGATAAATTTTGAAAAAATACATTTAACGTTAGCTTTATTGAACACGTGGATATCAAACTATGATATTAGCCTCACTAATACCTAAATTTGTAATAAACAACTCAAAGTGAACAAATTTTTGGCTTTCTTATTTGTATTTTTAAAAATTATTTTCTAATTAAAGGGCATGTTGTTAAAATATTAAATAATTTTATACTTAAAAAAAATATAAAGGTTCAAAAACAAAAAGTGGGACACAAATCCTCTCCGGTTAATAAGTGTTCAGTTTTATAATCCTTAATCCCATTGTTGATATATGAGGGGGAGATTTACTCATTTAAAAAAGTAAGTTTATTTAAATTTATTTTATTTAATAATTCATATTTTATATTAAA